AAAATATCAAAAAAAATAAACTGCCGCCACAGAACATAACCAAACTGGCTGACGAACAGCAGGTAGATCGGCGCACGCAAAGAAGTGCTATTCCTTATTCTTCTTCTGGAAAAACGAAAGAGAGCTTCAAAAACAGGCTGCAGCGTCATGTGATAGCAAAGAGCTTATACTTGCTGCGGACACTTTTTTGGCTGAGTGGCCCATCTTGTTATTCACTATCTTTGCTCTGACACTAGTGACAACTTCCTTTTGTTTTGTTTTCCCGCCACAGATTCAAGACAACTTCCCAATCCGGGCAATCCGTAACGCCAGCTACAAACTGATCCGCAACACACAGAAGAGTTTCCCCATCACCTCAGACGTGTACAACACGCCAACCTTCCAGGTCACTCACGAAGCTTAATGCTTCTCTTTGTCTTTATTACTTACCCTAAGCCAGATTTAACTAGCATGTTGAGCCATTATTGTTTTTGCTGGTGTTGTTGTTGTTGTTGTTGTTGTTGTTGCTGTCGTTGATATTGTCATTGTTATTGTTGTTATTGGTGGTAGTGCTGAAGGTGGTGGTGCTGCTGCTGCTGCTGTTGGTATTATTGCTACTGTTGTTGTTATTTTTATTGTTGATGGTGTTGTCTCTTTTGATCATCAGTCGTACTGCCCTGTTCGGGAATGTGCTTCTTTTGACAACAAATAAACAAACAAACAATGAATAAATAAATAAATAAATAAATAAATAAATAAATAAATAAATAAATAAATAAATATCTTTGCTCCGTTGAGAGACCGAGTGTTCCCGTTGCCAAAGATGTCGCCCAAAGAGAAGCTCATCGAGTCGCCAACTGTCACAGTTTTCTAGTACAATATAGGCCTACTGACAGAGGTAACAGTCAGAAAATAATTTTAATGTGACAATGCAGAAAAAAAACTTCAATGGGCCAACTGTGACTGTGAGTCCAGAGGAGCAGCAATTTTTTTTTTCTATCATTTTCAAAAATTCTCATTTATTTATTTATTTATTTATTTATTTATTCAATATTTTTTTTTTTTTTTTTTTTTTTTTGGGGGGGGTGTCCATGTAGGTGATTGTACGCCCCTGCCGGCAAAATTTCGGTCATTTAGGATACGGGCTTCCAACCCTGCCTGTCGGGTCCAGTCCGTGTTGAGAGATATATAACATCCCAAACGAAAGATCAAGATACTTTATAATGTGTTTGTTTAGAAATTATAGCAGTTTCTTAATCTGTCGTAGCCTGGCGGTGCAGCTTAACTCGCGAAATATTTTGTCGAAATACAAATGCTATATGTTCAGGGGGGAAACAAATTAACATGCATTATGTAGGTGCAAGTTAACCCTATCCCTATCCTGGGGTCCTTTTGTACACCCGGGGTTGTATTCTTCACATTTTAGAATACTTCTAGTCCGAAGATCTCTTTGAAACTTCCAGTATTTCTTTAAAAAATCGTTTTGACAGACTGCTACGCAAAGCGTACGGATCGGATTAACGAGTAAATTTCCTCTTTGGAAGTGATGGCACAAAGTTCCCCACGTTGTGTGGATACGACAGTAAAGCACGACGTAGGCTACGGTGAAACAGTTGTTATTGTGTTTTTCTCTCTCCTGAAAAAAAAATCGCTCTCTTGCCCTAGTATATTTGAACAGTTTGCAAAAGTTTTGTTTTTCTGTGCGTCTGCAGTATATTCTGAATCAGACCCGGAAGGGGGCGTCGACCGGCTGGTGGCGACAACTGACCAACTACCTCACCAGGGAGCAGTTTGAGCTTTTTGACTACTCCTATGATCCTTATGAGGTGATCTCCGTTGTTTATGTTGTTGGTGGTGGTGGTTGTTGTGGTGATGATGGTGGTGCTGGTGTTGGTGGTAGTGGTGATGATGATGGTGGCGGTAGGGTAGTGTTTCGTTGTTGTCGCTGTTGTTGTGTTGTTGTTGGTGGTCGTGGTGGTGATAGGGTAATGGTTCGTTGTTGTTGTTGTTGGTGGTGGTGGTGGTGGTGGTGGTGGTGATGGTGGTGGTGTTTGAGCGCTTAATCGGCTGCTCGCACTGTATGCTTCCTGGGAAACTGAGAATGTTTCGGAGTGTTCTATGGTCTGCTGGGGTAATAATATAGTGTAAAGCGCATAGAGCCTGCTGTTGAGCGGGGATATGCGCTATACAAATGCTATCTATTATTATTATTATTATTATTATTATTATTATGGCAGTGGTAGAGTGTTGTTGTTGTTGTTGCTGTTTTTGTTGTTTTTGGTGGTGGTGGTGGTAGGGTAATGTTTCGGTGTTGTTGTTGTTGATGGTGGTTTTGGTGGTTATGGTGATAGTGGTGGTAGGGTAGTGTTTCGTTGTTGTTGTTCCCCTCAACATCCTAAGGATACCAAAGGAAGGGAAAAGTACAAAGTTGCTGTTGGTTGTGGCGGTAGTGGTAGGGTAGTGTTTCTTTGTTGTTGGTGGTAGTGGTGGTGGTAGTTTGGTAAAGTTTCATTCATGATCGGTTGTTGTTGGGTTTTTTTGTTGTTTTTTTTGTTTTGTTATTTTAACCCAGAGATCTCCATGCATCTTCTAAGAAACGTTCTCTGTTAATTAGACTTAAAACAAAACTTCCCCGTTCTTCCATCAGCAAAGTTCAGAGATTCAGATTGATTGTTCAAAGTGTGGGATGCATAATTGTACAATGTACAAAGACTCTTGAATTTCCGGTTGAGGACACTGTGACGCCATCTGTGCTCTCATGATTCCGTGACGTCACATTTAACCTCTTCACTGTTGGAGAGGGCAGTGAGATAGGCATACATTGCGTGCCCCGAGCATAGACTGTACAGTACTGGTGTAATATTAATATTCTAGATCGGGCAGGTCTGCTATTTAATTTTTCTATAATGATTTCGCCGTGCTGTTGCAGACCATGGACGCATACATGACGAACAAAATACCAATTCCGTTCTTTTCGGCTGTGCGTGCAAAAATCTTTGTGCACTTTTGGTTCCAAATACAGTGTAGTCAAATGGTGCTCTCCATAATGAACCGGAATCACGTCATACTGCACAGCCTTTGGTATAAAATACGTTAAGTCAGTGACATCGAGTCGTTGATATTTCAGTTGAGATTGCCCTTGAAAACTGCTGCATATTTTATCATATCTGATCAAACATTTCTCGCTCTACCCC